TTTTTTTTGTATTTTTTGTAGAGATGGGGTCTCACCATGTTGCCCAGGCTGGTCTCAAACTCCTGAGCTCAAGTGATCCGCCCACCTAAAAAGTGCTGGGATTACAGGCATGAGCCACTGTACCTGGCCCCGTCCAAATAATTGAAGAACTGAACTTAAAATCAGATACCATTATTTGTTATCCATTTGCAAACACCCAGGGTTGGCATAGCTTGGAGGAATGGAATTCCTATCATTGCTAGTGGGAATGTCCCCATCTGACTGAAGAGCAATTTGGCCATATGTGCCTTCCGAAGCCTATGAGAAGTGCATATCATCTGACTCAATAGTTCTACTTCTAGAAATGTATCTATGAAAAAGGCATGAAATGCATGTCTAGAGATGTAGAATGGATTCACCTATGTGGAGAAGAAATGAAATCAAGGCCAAAGATGTCCTCTATGTCAATACTTGCATGTGAGTTCTGAGGTATTTATGGTAAGATTTACTTATGGTAATTTTTGCCCATAGGTTTTAACAGTGGCTGCCTTTCATAGCATGTAAACATTGTAATTGTATATTGCCACTATAGGACTTGAGAGTTCACCCAAGCAAGAATTGGTTGGCTCTATGGATGGTATCAGAGAGGGCCCTTTCCCAAGTTTTTTGTTTGTTTGCGCTAGGAGCAAAATTTAAATGTACTGCATGTCCCTGAGCAGCGAGCAGTGAAATCACACCTAAAACTTTAGCACACTTCCTTGCTTGCTTAAAAAGTTTTGTGGCAGCAGCAATCTAGAAAGTGGCCTGTGGCCACTATAATGGGGAACGCTTATCTGATGGACAAGGATGGGAAGAGCAATCTCTTGCTAAACTGACCACCAGCACACTCTCTAGATCAAGCTGACTACAGGATCTTCCTAAGAGTAACTCAACCTCAAATTTGAGCTGGAGACACTTAAACATGTCCTCAAGATGCCTCCCCGCCCTTCCCCTGGTAAAAGAAGATTAGCTGGAAGAGAAGCTGGAATTGCAAGTCTGAACACTTATTAATACTGATGCTAATACTAATACTGATGCTCCCACTGCATAGAGTACCATTTAGCTACTCCAAGCAAGCCAATTACTTCTCCACCCCCAGCTCCCAATGGCTTCCCTCTCCCCCATCTAGCTCAGAAGACTATGGGGAGAAACAAACACGCTAAGGAGATACACCCTGCTTGAAAGGTTCACCATTTATCATGAAAATTGTTATTCAAGTGCAATAAATGTCAAATAAGCCAGAAGCCAGAAAATTCTGACAAGTTTCTAAAACACCACAAAATAAGAAGAAATGATGTAATTAAAGGCCAAGAGAAGGTTCTTGTAACCAGAAAGGAATTCAAGGGAAAAAAGAGAATTTGGAAGAAAGTCTGTTTCTTTATTGCCATCTGTGGAATTCAGGATAATTATTTCCATTTTTTTTAGGCAGGAATAACACCTTACATAACCAAAGCACTTTCATATGTTTGTCATCTCAGCTGATTGTCACAATAGCTCTGTCTGGCAGGGAGAAAAATAATACATCAAGTCATGTTTGTTTAACATGGATATTCATTTAACCAAACACTATTTCCCACCCCTGCTTATCTGCTTCATAATGGGCCTAAGGATCAAGGACAGAAATTTTTAACCTGGTTTTTTATTATATCCCCTCCCCCATAAGCAGTAATGAAAGCAATCGGTTCTCTGATGGAAAAATGCACACACACACACACACACACACATCTTCAATTGGTTTGTGGAGCCCCTTCCTTCCTGAAATCCATAGATTCCATGTTAAGCTAAACTCAGATGTGTTTTCCTGAATAGACTCTCCTACACAGCAGGAAAGGACACCATGGGTCTTTCATTAATGTGGTCTGGGACCTGGTGCCCTTCTGGTACCCCTAACTCAAAAACATGGATCCTCCCTAGGACATCCTTAAAACAGCAGCTTCTTCCTTTACCCCAAACCAAACTGGAAACTGCAGGAAGGTCTGGAGCTTAAAGTTTGAGAATCCCAGAACCCTTTTCTCCTTGCTGTTCCAGACACACTTGGACAATTAATAGTTCTAACTCCTCCAGCTCCTCCTTCTCTGCGGTCCCAGCTTATATTAATAGCTGGGTGGAATGAGTTGTACCTCCCTCCTTTCTCCCCACTGTGAAGGAGAATGAGATCACAGACCCAGAATACAGAAGACCAGGGAGAAAGCTAAGATCTGATCCAGCAAAGTCTGGACATTTCACAATCCCTTTTTGCAGCACTCAGGCCTCTCACCCATAACAGGTAAATGACAACTTGAGCGCAGGCGCGCTCTGAGCTTTTCTGGGCGACTGTGGCTGTTCAGGCGCCATGACACTGTTCTCTAAAGACAAACGCGTCCCTGAATATCCTCCTTGGCCTTAACCAATTATGGAGCTACCAGCCATTATTTAATTTTTAAAGTGTTCATAATTCCCACCTAAACTGTCCCATCCAATAAACACTGACACAAACCTATTAATAGCTAAGCAAAGATGAAAGGACACAGGCTCGGAAGCGTGGCAGACTCACGTCAAATCTCAAGCTCATGTCAAATCCCAGATTCACCATTTATTAACCCAAGCACTGGGAAGGTCAAATCTCTGGCTCCCTTTACTCATAAGTAACATACTTCTCCACTGTTGTGAGATCCAGTGAGGTAATTTATGAGACTCTCTGCTTCGGTGGTGCTCTCTGCCTAATCAAATCTCGGGTTAGCACAGACATAAGCTACTATTCAAGCAGCTCTTTTTACATGCCCCCAAACTAGCTTCCTTCTAAATTTCAAATGGTGCCCTCCACCTGCCCCCGCCCCCGGATGTAGTATACTTGGATGTGGCCACCAACTCCACACCCACTGAGTGCTCTGGATTTCTTAGAACTCAACTGTAGGTCCTCTCCACCTCGGTCATGCCAGAGTCCCTTTTTTCTGGAACCTTCTCCAGCTCTCTGCCGCGGGTCGCGCTTGAGATAGAGGGGAGACGGCAGCCCCGTGGACCGTTTCCAGTGATCATGGATGGACTCATCTGTGCACATGTTGATTTTAAATATTAGAAGCAACCCAGAGACAAAGAAAAGAACCTCTTAAGAAAGGTATCAGTCAAAACAAACAAATTCCACAAGCCACCGAAAGTCAGGCGGGCAGGACTGGCCTCTAAACCAGAGCCTCCCTCCCTCCACCTGGGCGATGCGTGGTTTGGAAGCCCTCGGAGCTCCAGCAAGTCCGCCCCCAGCCCGAGCCAGGCTCGCTGCACCCCCCCATCCAGCTCCTTCTTTTCCACCTCAGAGTCTTCCCACCCCCTTCCCCAGGGGAGGCCCCGGTCTGTGCTCAGAGGCCTCCACGGAGCATGCGGCCGGGACCAACGAACCAACTGGCAGCCAAACTGCCTGCCGAACGCACGCCACGCCGAGGCCGAGGAACCGAGAGCCGAGAGCAAAAGGGACGCTGCGGCCGCCTGCTTCTCCCACGGCGGCGCGTTCCGGGGTTGCCGGGACACCGGCTCCAGCAACGCGGCGCGCAGCGTCCTGCCTGGCTCGGCTGCCGGCCCCACTGTCTGTCACCCCCGGACTCTCTTGCCATTGATACAGGATGGAGGCTTCTGAGAGATGAGGAGCTAGGGGCTCCAGCCATGGCCCGGCGTCACAGGCAAGGACCGCTGCAAAAGCCACTTTGTGGTTTTGGATTTTTTTTTTTTTTTTTTAAGAGTTGTGGTTCTTTTCCAGGCAATTTTCATTATTAGAACTGTAGGCTCTGGTAGCAGTGAAAGATGTGCCCTCCACAAAGCTTGCAGATGCCTGGTTATAATTGGCATTGATTAGACAGGATCCACCTACCACTTACAGAGCGTCTTTTCTGGGCCAGGCGCCCTGGTGGATGTTATCTTCCTTAAGCAGCCAGCTGCATTTTTCAAAATAGAAAACCAAATTTTAGCAAAGGCTTGCTCAAGGTCACCCAGAAAACAGATTCATTTCTAAGTTTCCTCATTCCAAATCCACCACTCTTTCCATCATATTGACTTAAATTTATCTTCCTCATCCTTTCCAGTATTTAATAAATCTTGCATAGAAAGCTTTTCTCCAAGTCTAGTTTAAGTCCCTAAATTCGTGTTTAGACCAAATTTTCCCTTTTTTTAATTACTGATTATAAGAGAAATAAATGGTTATTATAGAAATATTGGAAAATATGGAAAAGTATTGTTAATATCCATGATCTCACAACATAGAAGTTAAATACTCTTTTTCTGGATAGCTATTGCTGTATAACAAATCACCCCCAAACTCCGTTGTTTTAAACAACAACATCCATTTTTAATTTCTGATTCTGGTGGTTGGCTAGGCTAAGCTAGGCTGCTCATGCTTGGAGTCTCTCACAGGGTCTCAGTCAGAGGTCATAGAGGAGCTTCCTCACTCATGTGTCTGGTGATTGATGCTGGTTGTCAGCTGAGGTCAGCAGGGTTAGCGCCCGTTCACCCATGTGTGGCCTTTCCATGTGCTTTCTAACACCAGTGTCAGTTTCCAATGTGAGCATCCCAGGAGGACCAGGCAGAAGTTGTATTGCCTCCACAGTCACAAATGCATGGAGAGGGAACTTAGATCACACCTATCCATCATGGTCATACTGTATGAAGAGCACAGGGGACAGGGGAGCTTGTGGCCCTCCTAGAAAACACAATCTCCCCTACTGATATTTAGGAGTTGTTTCCTCCTTGCCCTTTTTCTATGCACATGTATGTCATATACCGCTAGTGATTTACACTCCTGCTGATATTTAGGGGCTGCTTCCTCTCTGCCCTTCTTCTGTGCACAAATGTGTTAACATTATATA